AGACAAAGCATTTACTTAACTTAAGCAGTTTCATTTATTAATAAACCTCTAAGTAGGTATAACGCTCTTAATTTCCCTTTCTCTTCAAAATACGCCTCTTTCCTTGGTCTCTCTCTCGTGGGGGTAATTTATGACCCCATATGGGGCAAGGGCAACAGAATTAAACAATCTCAAGCACACTCGGGGCTATGATATATGGCGCTTTGACAGAGGATGAGTAATTTAGAAAAGATTTTGTTTTAACCAAAGCAGTGTTTTTCTTCGTTTTGAATCATAGAGAACTAGGCGTTTAGTGTTTTTGGTGAGTGTCTACATACTAAAGAACTGGAGTACATAATTCATGTATCCTACTTAATATTATAAATGCGAAAGTTTGGATGTCTGGATGTTTGTTACTCTTTCACGCAAAAACTACTGAACGGATTTTGATAAAACTTTACAGTATTAATGTTTATAACCCAGAATAAAATAGGCTATAATTTTTGACGATCTGTGACAAACTAAATTTCACGCGGGTGAAGCCGCGGGCAAAAGCTAGTTTTATTATATTTTAAAGGTAACGTAGAAGTTGGGAAAACTTGCCCCTTAGTTACTAATGTATTTTATTTGGCACGGATAAGTAGGTACGGCACATTGCGAAAAACTGCTCCTTCAGAAAACGGGATGTCTTGTACAGTCCACAGCGCATCTAACTACTACAGTTCCAAAATAGCACCCACTGCATAATGCCACAGTATTTATCTTGATGCGCCGTCATCTGTACGCAATTTAATTAACCGTGAAAGGGCAAAGACGCGTGCCACGGTTATACAATCGTGCATCGTGATTTGGGCGGTTGTGTTTACATAATTTACATAACAATTGTAGAAGCAAGAGATGTTTACGCTTCCTTAGTTTATTAAAATGTTTTAAAATAACGAAAAACGATATCTATGTTGTATTCTGTGGTTAGGTGGTATAGGTAGCTTATAAAGTTAAAAGTGGATACAATCTTTCCAGCCTATAGACGCACATCAGTTAACATTGTGGCACCTTATGTTTGTAAGTGTTAGGTACTTATGCAAATACATTTATACAAAATTAATACTATGTCCTTACTGCCTAGATTTAGAAATAGGGTATTTTTTAAATCATCATCATCATCACCTGATATGATTTCATCTATAAGACGTCCTCAGCTGATAAAAAACCTCTTTCAATTTACAAGACAGAATGTTTTTAAAGCTCGTTTTTATTTATATTAAAGAATATATTGCTAAATGAGATTTCAACTGAAAGCCTTCTTCTGTCCATGTTCTGTCAAATCCCGCAAGAATCATAACACCTACGTAACTTCTTATACCACCCACGTTTCCACCCATTAATATCCTACACATGCCATTGTCTCACGAGACACATTATAAAATCATATTACGTCACAAACTGGTACAATGCCCATGGGGTAGGGAGAAAGGTGAAAGACGCACAATGTGTTTCGTTATACATACAAGATCTTGAGAGATAATATGGACGACCTATATTTTTGTCAATAGCATTGTTAAGTAGAGTCGTAGGTATATCTTATGTAAAACCTACTATATGATTGCCATTCAATGTGCGCATGGAAATCACAACTAACGGCGTTATTGTTTAAACAACAATATATTCGGTTATGGCCAGAGTTATTAACCCTGGATTGCTAACTCGATAAAAACAACGGTTAAAGTTACTGTTGTGCGACTCAGCCTTCTTGATTAGTTTGGCTCAAGATACAACAGACCTAAGAACAAATAACCCTCCTTCTGGCGCAGTCGGGTAAAAAAAGTAGGAAGTTACAATACATTCAGAAGCAAGTTACTTACCAGGCGTTCCCATTGAAAGAAAATTGGCCTTAAAGACTCATCTAGCACGAGACCGCGTGGCAGTTTTAAATTGTATATTTATTTAATGCCGTTAATAGCGTTAAACACACAAAACCTCATTTAATAATGTTTTATATGAAAACGCTCGTGTTATTTTGATAAACAATATCAATAATTTATTCTTGAATCCAATACCGTTTTATAAATAACGTCATATTCGCGGACAAAAGCTTTCAATTAAATTCATTCAGTCATTCATTCATTCAGGGCTGTCAATTAAGGAGCGGATATTTGAAAGTTTAAATTTAGAGTGAACGAAACAAAAGACAAATACGAGTAGTTCTAGGAGCTCTAAAATCTAAATGGATTGAGTTAGACACTTGGATCTTGGATAAATATTTGAACTGTACCTAGTTTAATAGATGTTTACTTTATCCACTTCTCGTTTCACGAGTTCGAAAAAAAATTCAGTGTAATGGTTTTTTTTTTCGTTTTGTTTTGTATTCGGTTTCGGGCATGATAAAACCAATGATTCATTTCAAACGTGGTCATAAGGCTGTTTCCGTTATTAATAAGGATGATAAAAAAATGACTTTATTAGTAACATACGCCTGACATCACCCAAATCTGATCTTATTCTCTACTGTCAAACGGTAATTTATCATTCCCAATCCTAGTTCAATTATCAAACTGACCCGATTTTGAATATCATGATAATGCCTCTACGGTTCACATCACACTCCACAACATTTCCGCTTCTAATTTCCAATTAACAATCGGTAAACTGAATGGCATAAAAATATGCAAACCTTTTCAACCTCCGTGCAAATTACCGTTCATAAATCACGGTTTTTATGCCCTGTTGATATTGGCAGCCCTGGCACCACCGGCCAGTTACACAGGGCAGCAGATTGGAAAATAAAAGCAATAGTTTTGTGAGTTTTGAACATAACTGCTCTAAAATATGCAGGTGGGGAGAATCAACAACACATTTTTACTGCACGGTCAGCGAAAATGGAAATGTTTGGAGTTCGAGCGAAATTGTCTGTGGAATATAATAGTAAGTCAATAAATATTTTAATTTGAACGTTGAGTTACTTATCTCATAAATTGAAACAAATGTGAGACCTTTTAAGTAAATTAAATTACCTTTAACCTAACTTGCGAATGTAACGTGTAATGAATACCTATGTATGTTATGCCAATAACTTTGATACTTACGTATTTTTATGGAAGCCATTTGTTGATTTCTTTTTTTAATAGCCCTAAAGCTGTAGGTAGAGCCTAACCTCTTGCAAGTGTGTAGTGTAATAACTGTTTTATATTTTTTTACTAAAAATCACAGTGAATATTATATTAAAATATACTACGTGTGATTTACTAGTGCGGCAAGTAGTGAAATCTAATATGAGTTTCAGAGCGAAAATTCCAGACTATTTACCTACTTTCCAGTGTCTATAATACCAGATGTGGTAAACAAAAACACAATTACACTTACTTTCAATAGAAGCTTTAGAGGCAAACCGCGTTGACGAAACTATCATATGAATCTCAATTACGACCATATTCGTACGAAAAACGCCGTCAAAACAAAAACAAACTCGTTCTCGTATATGAAACATAAAATCTAATCGGCACGGTTAAGTCTTGCTGACGCGTTCCGTGTCGCACTGGTGACATGGATTAGACCAGACAGTGGTTCTAAACATATGACACGTTTGTCCCCAATCAGGGTAAGGCCAGCTTTCCTCTTAAGCTGACGTCGGTTCCTGACATAGTTACGTCGAACGTACTAAGTCACTCGCTAGTGGTTAAGACTGTGACGCCCTCTGGTGAACGCTGAAGCGTTCAAAGGTCTGCAGCATTTGAACTCACCATTGTACTGAACGGCTCTACTGAAGTAACTCAAGTTTTATATTAAGAAGAATCCATTACGAGTATATTAAGCTTAGTAAATTTATTTATTTACTCTTAAACCAACTTAACTCTACCATTACAGATTAAGGCCAAAAGGGTACATATCATGAAACAGCCAGTTCGCAAATAACACTTTTTGTATAATCACTTACTTAGAGAAACACTTATGTACTTTTTCATTCCTTTATTAGGTTCTACTGAATAATTCATTGATACAAAAACTATCCGAAAGTTTGAGAACTCTCAAGGATCGAGCTAACCCCCTTATAGTGGGTCGTCAACCAATCGGATGGTTTTATGTCATGTGCGGCTCGTAAACCACTCTAAACGGTTCCGCGGGTTCATTTTCATAGTGGCACGTAGTGGGTACAGTCGGCTAAATATTTTGTGTAATAACTTGGTATAAATAACTGTTACAGGTATAGCGCTTAGTAGGTTCTTGTGTAGTTGAAGTGTTTTTATTACGTTAAACGTCAGTGAGACTGATGTATATGGACAGCTCTCGTCATAATATGTCACCCCTCGCTCCTGTCAAACCCCAATTCATAAACCTTAAAACAACCTTATTTAACACGATCTCGGACAAACTCAAATAAATATTCAAGTAATCATAGGCTTTTAAGGTAACTGAGATTAAATCGAGCTTTAAGCGTCGTTTCATGATATGAACTTAGTCTTAAAATTCAACCCGTCACATGCTCAAATCTTCGCGTCAGTTTTCAGCGCAATTTCAGCATAAAGCCTTTTAAAAATCTCGTTTAATTTTAATCGTTTTCGTTCGTGGTTTATGAGTTGATGTGCCACGAACTGGGGCGCGTGGCAGTTCCAAGGCACGTGTCAGATGGTTCTCGCTACGTGACAACCGAACGGAGGCGATCTAGTTTCCAAGTAGGAAACGTTGCTGTCCCATGTTAACATTGGATGCAGATTGTAGGGCTATTGGATGAGTATTAAATTAATATGAAGATAGAACCCAGGGCTTAGACCGACATATTTATACTCACACGAACGTCATGTTCTTTTTCATTATGAATAAAGCGTGAACACAAAAAAGTGGCCTTTGGAATGGCTTTTTTACGGGACGTCGCAGTATCACGGATCGAACCCTGACCACGATCACGGTCTTAATATTATCAAATTTTCGTAATGGATAAACTTGCGTGACCAAATACGTCGCCAAAGGAGATGCTTTCGTCTGACACACTTTCGTTGCCGTCCCGATTCTAAGTCCCAACTTAACAGCACCAGTCTTCCTTGTGCATGGGTTGGTGATAACCGAGCGAAATGGCGTGGGGTTACTGGTCTGCGTCGTCAGTGCTCCCGGACCGTGGGCGGAGTCCCAGGCGAGCCGGGACGTCCCAAGTGCACGTGCCGCCCAACCCGCCGACCGCTAGGGAAGTGATGGAGTCCCACGACGAATCGATAATCCATACGGCGTCGACATCCCGAGATAGTCGCGACCATTCTGCGTCGCCTCACTCGTCGTCGAACGGCGGCCATTCCCATCACCATGAAGTGCGTCACGCCGTGCCAGCGAGTGCGTTGTTCGGGGAGAGTTACGGGGAGTTGTCCCGGCGGCCATCTTTGGACCTGGGCTCGGTGCGGAGTGCGTTGGCCTCGTGTTCGGGCATGGGCACGCTGAGCGCGGGGTCAACGTTGACCCGGGGGGGCACGCTGGCGGACTACCTGCCCCCCACGCCGTGCCCCCACCACCACCGAGTGTATGTGGACCACCATAAACACTATGAGCAGCCGATTCAACCGCCGCATGCGGGGGCCCTCCCGCCGCATTCCCGAGGGCATAGCAGCCGCCATACTGACGACGAGGATGACTTGGAGCCCACTTATGCTACAGGTTAGTACCTAAAACGTCTCAGACTATAGGTTTTTTGAAAGTTAGAAACGGGTTGCTAGTTTTTATCACTTAATTTGCTTCCATGCATTCCATTTTGAAGTCATTAAAAAGGACAATAAGCTTAATTTTTGGAATCTAGTGGCGGTCTTTTTCTTGCCATTTAATAAATTAATCACTTTGCAAGGATGAACTATAATGAAAAATGCAAATAATGTTGAAGTACTTACTATGCTAATGTAAGCTTCTAACGCGTCACAACCTTATTTTATGTGGGCATATTCTAACTCAGTCAGACACTGGAACAGATGAGTCATGGCCACCATAAGGGGGAGCAAAGTCCAAAGTCTCAAGAACGCTATTATCGAGAATTCTTCCCGTAACGTTTGCCATAAAGAATAACATCTAGAATAGGGATGTTTCCTGGGTAAAAAAGCAAGAGTTTTAATTAGTCCGTCAGTTAGCTTGTCAAAAACTACTCGACACGTATTTTTCACTTTTTAAAACACTATGAAAATGTAAAGAGATTCGTGCCAAATTTCTAAAGAAAAGGCCCGTGACGTCAGTGAGTGCGTAAAAGTGCAGCACTTTGTGACGTCGCGCGGAACTTTGTAATTATTTATTTGATTCACAATTAAAAATATACGTGACCAATATATGTTTATATTAAAATTGACGGACTAAAAAAATTTTTTAGGAAACTAGCCTATTAGAAGTTAGCTAGTAGAATATTGATTAATTGCGAATATTCGCTCTTTAAGATTGCATAAAGAAGCACTCGTGGCTCGTGCCCTAACTGCTATAGAAGTGATGGAAAAGAAGACCTTTAGATTTTTCACATAATACGGTAGCTATATCAAGCATAAAAGCGCTCGTTTTGTTAGTAATAAGTTAGTTAAAAATATTGGTATATCAAGATACTCGTACGTAGCATACTTAGCTAGATAGTTTCCATGGTTCTCTCGCTTCTTGCTGAGCAGTATCCCTGTGTAGGCTCGGGCTCGTCGCGGCGGTACACCGAGCACCACAAGCACTACGAGCAGCCTATTCAGCGCCATCGCCACACCGATGATGAGGACGACATGGAGCCCACTTATGCTACAGGTATGTTGTTCACAGCTGAAAACACTCACACGCTCTTATAGATCTAGCACATAATAGGCTAAATGACAAAGTTTCAATTTATTTGTCCGTCAGACAGATAATTAGAAAATATTAGACTCATATTTTTTATTTTCTTGCATTTTTTTTATGCTAGACAAGGCAGGTATTTGACCGCAGTCGCACCTGGTGGTGGCTATTCTTTAATCGCAATTAAATAATAACAGTGCTACATCGAGTTGAAATGGCGCGTTACGTCACGCTTGTGTAGATTTTTTACTCAAAAGTGACGTCACGCGACATTTCATCAACTCAATATAACACTGTAATTATTCGTTTATGAAAAAATTAAAAAATATGTGTTCAATTTTTTTATTATCTGTCTGACGGACTAAATAGAATCCCACTAAAAACATTCTGTAAAAAACTAGCCAAGTCTCGATGGAGCTGCTTGTTTATCTCTAAAAAGTAATGAAATCTAGACAAAGTCGTGCCAAGTCTATGGTTCCTTACTGCGATTTCTTTATTATTATAATTAATGTTGTGTGACTTGGCCGTTGAACAATCTTTCGATTTCATTACCCAGTCATCATCCCTATTGAGTCAGTGCCTGAGGTATGCAAGTGGCAACACACAATGAATCTGAAGTCTTGCTAACGTTTGACGTCACAAAACACCCTCCCGTGCACTCCTCCTCAGGTACTGAATCACTTACCTACTGTAAATCGTTTGCGTTGCATGATTTAAATAAAGTTATTGCCAGGAATTTATTTATTTATTTATTTTATTCAAAAAGTACACATACAGGTTACAGTCATTTACATATCAAAATAGATAAACAAAATTAACAGTGTCTAGACTCCAACCTACAAGTAGCGTACATTTAAGTTACGATTAAACACGACACGCGATTGGAATTGATAAAATATTACCTATTTTCAACCGACTTCAAAAAAGGAGGAGGTTATCAATTCGACCCGTATGTTTTTTTTTCTATGTTTGTTACGCGATAACTCCGCCAATTATGAACCGATTTGAACAAATCTTTTTTCGGCGTATAGGTAATACCTCAAGGGTGGAAAATTGGGGATGAACTTTTTTATACGCAATATCTCCGCCGATTATAAATCAATTTGAACGATTATTTTTTTGTTGAATAGGTATTATCAAAAGGGTGGTTTCATGCGAATTTGAAGAAAATATTTCACCCCCAAGGGTGGAAAATTGGGGTTGAACTTTTTTATACGCAATATTTTTAGTTTTTAGTTTTTTTTTGTGTTCACGCATTTGAAGTCGGTTTTATTTTTTTAAAAAGTTAATTATGACTGACGTTTTCTTTTACCTAATTTCACCGGCGGTGGTCAAAAACTGAAAAGTAGTTTTACATGGCCTATATTTTTAATTATACCTTGTAATTTGGGAAATTCTAACGTCTTCAAGGCAATCAAGACTTTTTCAAGATAGCCCCGACAGTGGTTTTCCTGTCCACAACTGACAAACGATATTTCAGCCAGTGTCCCGTAGTAGCAAAAAACGTAAAATAAGCGATTTCGAAAACTTTCCGTAAAAAAATCCATTTTTTTTACAAACCTTGTCTTATCTTGTCTTAACTCTGTTCTATCTCTGCAGTTAGATCTAAGTCAAAATTAGTCATTAGCTCGGAGTATTGTTTTACATTAATTACTAAAGTTGGCCGTTTTATTTCGTTAATGTGTTGTTGGCGCGACCTACTTCCAAGTTCCTTGTGACTTTTTAGACCAGGGGTCGACTCTATAAAATCATGTGACTCGACATCTCTCTGTCTTTTTTACTCTAGTAGGTCATAGAGAGAGACGGGTAGAGTCGAATGTATAGAAATAGTTTTGCATAGTAGGACTAGTCGGCTAAAGATATAACGAAAGTTTAGTATTAGTTTTATTTATGCCATTTCAAGTCGAATTAAACTGGCGTTAAAGAGATGACTTAAGAGATATCGTAAATATACTTTAATGTTGTTTTATTGCCAATTTCTTGGGCTATTTAGATTAATCTTGGCTGTTTATTCGAAATGTTTTCCTTTAATGACTACTTAGCTGTGTGATAAACATAGAACTGCGTTAAGTAGAAAATAATTAAAATACAGCGGCACGATGTTTTTTCCCGATGTCCCCATTTTTACTCCGCTGGCGGATATCGTAACTTTTTCCCGATGTCCGCAAGTTCTTTTCTTATACCGTGTATTGTTAAAAGCCCTTATTTATAACACTCAAATAATAATCATATTATACAGGTATACAATTCAAGCAATAGGCTTGAATTTAATATTTGAATCTATTTTCAAGTCTATATTCACAATGGAGCTTGAAGATTATAGAAATCTTTCGTGCTTTTCCTCAAAAATTGTCCACTGATTGGCATTCGCTGCCTGCTGCTGTCTTTCCCGAAGTCTATAATCCGGGCGATTAACATCAGGTGCGATTGTGGTCAAATAACTGCCTTGTTATGCATGAAAAAAACTTGTAGCCAGTGACTTTGCCGATTCTTATCTATGTTTTTTGGAACAGCCTGTACCTATAATACACTACATACATGTACTCGTACTTATAGTGTTGTTTAGGGATGTTTAATACTCGCAGTGGAAGTAGGTTACTGTGGCGAGGTCTTGCCATCTAGTATCGATAAATTAGACAATCGCAGCAAACGTTGCAGACGTCAGCAAATCGAGCTACGAGTAAAGTTAACTGACATTGAACAGTCCCAGCTATGACATTGTCAGGAGGGCGCTACTATCAACACTGGGCACGCTGGGAAACACTGAAACACGACTGAAATGTCATTGACAGGAGGATGCTACTATCTATACTGGGTTACTAATTCAGATTTTTGCCGATTGACGTTTCAGAATCGTTCAACTTGGCTGAGTTGCAACACCTAACATTGACCGTAACTATAACGATAACCGGTGCTTTTTGTTTGGTGTTTGACAGATTTTTGACGTTTGTTAAAGTCAAAGTAAGATGGTGCAACCCAGCCTTAAAGTTGCATCTTATGCAGGTTGAAATTCAAATCTTTGGCATCCTTTTAAAATAGACTACTCATGATACATAGCGCATTCCCCAAATATGAGAAGAAGTACTTACTGCCTGCCAGCTATCTTTTCACCCCTATTTGGATCCTGAAAAGAAACTCGAGGAGCGTTTTTTTTAAATACACACCAACGAAAGCAATATAAAATTTAACCGTCTCCCTTTATTTCATTAAGGTATTGTGTGCGACCCAGATGCGGCGTCTGAGCCCGTTCGCTGCCACTGATGGCGCGACGTCACCTTTTATTGCCTACTTTTCAGCTTAAAAGCAGTCGTCACAGACTCACGCCATGATGTGAAACTTTTTGTTTGGATGTAGGCAGTTGCTTAGATTTAAAAAAAAAATCTTGAGACTGGCTGAAATACATATGAGAGAAATTACGGTCAGAAGATAGGTACATAAATATAAATAATAAATATCTGGTTACTTGTACAGTACAGCCCATGTAAGTAGCTTAAAACGCTTTGATTTTTGTAAGTTTCTAACAAAAATCTATAGAGTGATGTGCTAAGGACTATTTTTTTTAATTGTAGCCTTAAAATTGTATCTAATTTAGTCTGACTGATAAAAGAAGTAAGTAAGTTAGAAGCATGTTTTAATTAAAATTACAGTTAAATTGAAACGGAACAGTGTCATAAATGCTATAGTCCAGTCAATGAATGCCTTAACGACGGTGTAGAGAGAAATCCGTGGAACACAATTTCTGACTTCGGGACTTTATGTAGCCTAGTTAGGTGGTGAACATAGCAAAAGTCCCCGTCCTTAGCCCTTGAGCCGGCGGGGAGAGGGGGGTTTAAAGGTACCACTTTTCGGTTTTTCGCTTAATCCTCGGAAACTATGCGTCCTAGTGACATGACTACTATGAACCAAAAAAAGCTTATTCAATTTGCTACAGGTGAGACCGTCAAGTTTTTCTATATATTGTATAGTTTTTGCGGCATCTGCTCTAGAAGGTCTGTAAAATTTGAAATTTTATCTGGGGGCACGGCAGTGCCCCCGCCAAGTCGAGCGCGAAGCAAACACTGCCGTACCATCCTTTACTGGAACCATTTCGCCGCATTTTCAGGCCCCTATTTGAGAACATCTGGATTAGACCAGAACACAGAAATTTTCGTCATCTAGTAAGCTATAATCACATGCTTAAAATCCAAAATTTCAAGTCTATTGGTCATTTAGTTCCGAAGTTAAGCGAAAGCAAAGTTTCGAATTTACGACACTCACTCACTGATAATCATCAAAATAGAACTAGTACTTCCCATAAACTCAGAGAGCTGAAATTTGGTACAGAGTTAGGGTTTAATGGCCACATAAAGGGAAAACTATAAAAACTAGGAAAATCGAAGATCTGGAGTAACAGCACATTCATAATCAATACTACTCCGGCACCGTGGTGTTCGCCTGTATCGCTCACCGCTAGATGGCGCTAGCACTAGCAAGCGGTGTCCAGATTTTTTTCCTTTCTAGAGAAAGTCGTCGATTAAGTTGAATGTTGTGTAATTTGCATTTCGTTGATTTCGTTTATTATATTGTAAGGTTCGCTAAGGTTATGTTATTAAAACAATTTTGATTCGTTGTCCATTTTAAAGGTCGTTGAGTTTATTTGTGTTTAATATCGTAATAAAATGTCGATAAAACTACGACGTTAAATATTTTTGCCACGTTCTACAAAAAGAAGTGAAATCCCACCAAAAACATTCTGTAAAAAACTAGCCAAGTCTCGATGGAGCTGCTTGTATCTATCTATCACATGTGAAATGTTAAAATTTACTGGTTTTTTATTTGTTCCTTTGTATTATATATAACTACCTTTCTGGATGCCAAATTTGAACCTTCGAGGTCATCTGGAAGTGGTTAGAATTTGGTCTATAGGTCAGACATGTAGATTTTTGGACGTCAATATCTAAAGAACCGTTTGAGGCATATTTATGAAATTTGAA